CAGGAAGTGAGTGCCAGCTGGGTTCAGGTATGCTGAGGGAGTGATCCCAGGCCACGGAGAGCTGAGATGTTCTTAGCTACAGGAGCCCAGTTCTCATCTGTAGACAAGGTTTTGAGTGGCAAAGGAGAAGGAGACCGTGGGATACACAAGGCCTGTAGAATCTGGACTCCAATCTCTAGGTGGTACCCCAAAGCCCAGTCCACCACTGCCCCCAGGATCAGGGCTTTGCTACCATGGCCTCCGAGCAGCTGAATCCAGCAGGCTGCTCCCGTGTCTCGAGGTCCCCCACTTTCTTACTAATGCCAATTAGTAATGAACATCAGTGTAGTTAGAGGAATGAAGATTCCAGAGGAGTGTTCTGCATAGGCCAAGCACAACCTCCCTGAATAAGACTTGAATGTCCAAAGTCTTCTCATCCACATACTCAGGTAGACAGTACAGGAAGATTCTCCCTCCAAACAGGATGGAACTTGCTGCGTCCTTGAGCAATAATCCCCTTAATTAGAAATGACTCTCACTCAGCCATGGAGGCTGCTGGGGGTCAGGTCCGCCTGAAGGTCACAGACAGCCGAATCAATGCCCTGGAGTATCCAGGACCAAGGCCCTGTAACCACGGAGTACCACCTTCATCCCCTGCACCGACTGCAGGGGAGCTCTAGGCAGGGAGGGGCAGCATCCTCTGATTCTCAAACGTCGTGCTCTCTAGAGTCGAGCTGCCTGGGTCCCACTCAACTGGCTGGCTGTCCACTCTTGCAATCAGAGCACACAGGATATGCTCAAGTGCTTATAGTGACTGACAATGTGTTCCCATTCCTGCTCAAAGCTCCCAGCCTTGTGCTCTCCAGTATCCTCCTGGGCCCAGGCCTCTGCCTCCACAGTTCCTTCTGCCCAGGATGCTCCATTGCCTAACCTTTGATCACGAGGTTTCAACTGGGGGCAACTGTGCACCTGACCACACCTGGTAGGCAGAGTCCAGGGATTCTGTTCAACACCCTTCAAGGTATAGAACAGTCCCCAAAACCTCAACAAAGAATAACCTAGCCCCAAATGGCACCCACATGGAGGTGGAGGAAGAAAATCTGACCTAGTTTACATTCACTCCAGGAAGGAAGCCTCTACAACCAGAAGGCCAAGGAAGTTCCCTCCCCTGGCATGGCCACCGAGCCCCTGGCCTTTCCCCCATCCCCAGAGCTGCATGTCCGAAGAGTGCTCTGCTTGCTCCGTAGCCTGGCACCTACCCTGTCAACATCAATTCCCACAGCCCATGCAGCCAGACCACACAGGACACTGTGGTCTGCTCCATCTACCCTTTGTCCTGTTCTCTTTGGGACAGGAAGGGGAAGTGTGTGTTTGGGGTCTGGAGTGCTTCTGGGATAGCAAGTGGAAAATCAAACAATGGTACCATGATCTGAGGGAAACAGCTGTCCTGGAACTAATGAGGAAACTGAGGCACAAGCAGCTCCAGCCCAGAGGGACCCCAGGAGAGCAGGGATGACCTCAAACTCCTGTCCACTATGGTGGCCCCAGGCCTGGAGGTGGACAGACCTCTGAGCATAAAGACTCGTGACCCAGCCAGCCATGCCTGGCCTGTGACCTCTGCCTAGTCCTAATGGGCTTCTTTCTTTTTTCATTTACCAAGTGTTTCCTGAGTAGTGACCTAAACCTGACAGTGGCCTCAGAAGGGGGACTCCTGAGGTTGTCTCACCCTCTGCTGGAAGCCTGGCTACCCATGCCTCCTGAACAGTCCTGTGGCTGCCTCTTTCCTTAGTACTGGGCTGGAAACTTTCCCAGAGGTGGCTCTTGGGGCTGCTTCCAGGACTCCAGGTGCTGCCTCTTCCCACACTGCCCAGCCTGCATCCCTACACACACCCCAGTCTTGCCTACGGCTGTCTGCTATCTGCAGGTCTCCTGGTTTAGGGAGTGTTTCCCTGGCTGTTATCTCCTGACCTGTGGCCTCCAGAGAGTCTAAGAAAAGGTCACTGTCCCTCATGTTCACAGTCATGCCTCACTACCCTACCAATGATACACAGTGGGTGCTCAGTAAAAGCTGGCTGGGTGTTCCAAGCCTGTGGTGGTGAGTTAAAAGAGATCTAGCTCTCCTGCGGATCAATCAGAGCACCCTAGTCCTGAGCCAGCTCCCTAACTCCACCTACTCCCAGACTCCTAAGCACAGGTCCCCATGCCTGCCAGCAGACTTTGGGAAAAGAGGATGTAAGCCAAGCTCAGACAGGGGCAAGGCAAGGCATGTGGTGCCTAACAGGTCTGAGCCCAAACAGGAACACTAAAATAGTGGTTCTCAACTTTCCCAATGTTGTGATCCTTTAATACAGCTCCTCGTGTTGTGCTGATAACAACCATAAAATTATTTTCATTGCTACTTCATAACTTAAGTTTGCTACTGTTATGAATAGTAATGTAAATATGTGTTTTCCTATGGTCTTAGGCGACCCCTGTGAAAGGGTCATTCGACCCTCAGAGGGTCATGACCCACAGGTTAAGAACCATGGAGCAAACTCTTCATGCTTGGGGCAGGAAAGGGTGGCAGTAGAGAAGCAGAGTCCAGAGGAAGCTGGGACACCCTGCATCTGGCTAGTATAACCCTCTGCACACCACTGACAGACCTCCATTCCATCCACCAAGGCCTGTGGGTCTGCACAAAACACAGCCCAGTTGAGGACAATCCCAGGAGTACCTCAGAGCAATTACACCCCAATCCACCTTATCTCTTCACTTGCCTTGACCATGCTATTCTGCAGATGGGCAAACTGAGGCCCGGGGTCAGCTAGAGCACAGGCCATATCCTGTCCCTTGTTGGAAGCAACAGCAGTGACAACTTCTAGGTGAGCACTGGTCAGCACAGGCCTGGGCACTCCACAGCCACCCCCGTGTGCAATGCTTGAGAATTGTTGGGCCTGGTGTCTCAAGACCCAGAGCAAATGACACACAGTGTGACTTCTGGGCAGCGGTCTCCTCTAGGAGACTGGGACTTCCTTGGTGATGGTTTTTGTTACCCCTACCTCTTCACGGGATCCCCAAACTCACTCTTCACCCCACCATTCATGCTCAGCTCAGAGGGCACATAGGCAACAGGCAAGCTGAGTCCCCTCTCTACCCCACATCAGACTGTTCCTGATGACCTCCCTTTCCCCTGTATTCCTTGCACCCCAAGGCACAGACCCAATGTCACAAACAGCCTCTTCTCTGGGGACACCGGCTGACTGCTCCTCACTTCACTGGGCACACCACGAGTGCTGCTGAACTCAGCTGTGCCCCACTCCACCCAAAGCCCCCACTTTCTGGGGCACTCCAAGGGAGCAAGAAACATCTCCTGATTTCAGGGCCAGCTAATGCCCAGGAGCTTCCAGTGCTGTCCCACCCTCCAACAAAGCCACCTGCCAAGTATCCTCTTTGGGGACCCCAGGCCAGAACTATTTCCTGCCCCAGGTTCTGTTCTGCCAAACCCCAGCAGTCAGCATCACAGAGGGCTTCTGCCATCCAGGAGCATAGATAAGGATAACAGCATCGGAAGGAGAGCTAACATGCAGCATGGCTGTGTCCACTGTCCCCTCACCCTCCACCTTGCCCTCTAGAAGAGAAACCTGCTCCAGATGCCACACCACTGCCAGATCTCATGGCAGGAGAGGAACCGAGGGCTGAGAAGTTTGGAGACTGCCCCAAGGTCAGCTGCAGTCTCATGGTCCAGGCCTGAGTCCTCGCCCTCCTGTGTAAATCACTTGCCGGGCGCTCTTCAGGATCCTATTGAGCCATAGAACTTTGGAAGTGATCCAATAGCAGATGCTGAAAAAGTTCCTTGGTGTCGAACGCTTGAGCTCAACATCTCATGTAGATCTCTCCAAAATTTCTGCCTCAAAACAATCCTAGAGTTGAGTTACTACTCTTGCCACTTGACAAATACAGCTTAGAGAAGTTAAGTCAGCTGCCCAAGGTCACACAGCTTAAAAGTGGATGTGCGGTTATTCAATCCAGGTAGTCTGGATCCTAAATTACCGATTTCAAACCTGATTCTAAAACGGCATCTACCTGACCTGTCTCCTCTCTCCTGGAGGCTGAGAGCAGTGAATCGGTGTCTGACCTCTTCCTAGGAGCTAGTCTAGGTGACCTGGGCCGAGGACTAGACCCCGATGACAAGCGCCCCAGCAGCTCCCGCGTGCAAAGCGCGGGCGGCGTGCAGGCGCAGTGCCGGGCGACGCCGCGTCTCCCCCACTACAGAAGGAGCAAGGCGAGGCGTGAGGGAAGCAGGGGCCCCTTCAGGGGGCGACAGCTGCGGAGGAAACGACAGCTGAAGAGACAAATCAAGTCCGCCTGACCTGGGTTTTTTTGGGGGAGGGGGGCGGGGAGGTGGACCAGGAGTCAAGCCCACGTCGCGCGGTCACTGCCGACCGGATAGGGAACAAACGCTAAGGCTCGGCCTCAGTTTCCCCACTGACGAAACCGACTCCAGATGTTCCCTGGGCCCCCATCCCCCTTGATCCATCTTGACCATGCTGGGACTCTGCCAGGAATCCCGTCAAGGCTGGGAGTGAGTGTTCGGGGCAGCCCGGAGGATCCGCTCGGGGCGCAGAACCGCGGGTCGTGGAGAGGGACAGACGTCCCGCCGAGCAGCCTCCGCCCCCCACCGCCTCCTTTGTCCCAGTCGCGCCGCGGAGGACAAAGAGTCCCCGCCCGCGCGCGGCGTCCGCGGCGCCGACCCGTCAGCGCCGCACCCGGGCCCATCCGGCGCGTCCCTTCCCCCTCATCCGCCCGCCCTTCCCGGTTCTGCTCACCATGTCGCGGCCCGCAGTCCGGCACAATCTGCCAGCAGCAGCCTCGCCGCCCGGCTCCGCCCGCGCGATAGCCGGGTCGGGCCGCGGCGCAGGAGCCAGACGCCAGAACCAGATCTGCGGCGGGCGGGGCGGCGGCTCCGCCCAGGGCGGGGGCGGGGCGCTCCGATGCAGCCAACGGGAGACCGCGCTGGGACGACGGGGCGGGGCGGGAGGGGAGGGGTGGAGTCACGTGCGTTCCGGGCGGACAGGGGCCCGCGGCGCGCGGGTTTGGGGTAAGCGGGGAGGGGAGCGCAAGCAGCGGAGGGGGATGAGAGAGGGTGCTGGGCGGCTGGCGGGTCCGCGAGCTGGGGTGGGCGGCTGGGCTTTCGTGCGCGCCTTTTGGGTGCCGGCGGTATTGGGCCTGCTCCTGGAGTCCTTTCTGTGAGAGTAATCTGAGCCCAGTGACAGAGGGGAAACTGAGGCTCACAACAGGCAAGAGTATGGCACACCGCCCCAAGGTTGCAGGCACCGGCAGAGTTGAATGACTCTGCTTTGGAAAGGAGCTGGCCGTTCTTTTTTGGTTAATTCCATCATTATCCCTCCGTACATTCATCCACCCACCCATCTGCACCAATGTCAGCCACAAGCCAGACAAACAAGGTCCCTGTCTGCAGAGCTGCGGACTGGGGCGCGTTATTTAATATAACTTCTTAGTTAAGACGCCAAGTGCCGTGCTCTGTTCAGCCCGCTCAACAAATCAAAAGAACCCCAAATAAAAATGTATCATCCCATTTGACATTAGGAACCCAAGGCTCCAGAAGGCTTAAATACTACCGATGTGCTCTTGTGGAGGTAGGATTTGAGGCCAGACATAACTGGCTAGGAACACAGAGGTGATAACTGGTGTAGTGACTGCCCCCAAGAAGAGAGTCCAGGGAGAGGATAAGACACTACATGGTGGCCACCTGGAACTCCCAAGAGGCTCAAGACCTCTGAGGCCCACAGTACTCCCGAAAACTGGAAGGGACAACTTGGTTGGGGCAGATCAGGCTGGGATCTCCTGGTGGCTGGGATTTCAGGGGCTGCTAACTTTCCCAGATTCACACAGAAGGTCCTGCACACAAGCTGAGATCACCAAACTGTTTCCTACCTCCCATCTTTGGCCCATGCCATTTCTTTTATCTTGAACATTCTTCTACATCATCTTTTAGATCTCAGCTCTTCTCATGCCCTTGCTCTGGAGGCTTCTATTTCCCCACTCAGTGGACTCTCCTGTCCATTGTGAAATTGGGTTTTCCAAGGGGTGTCGATTAACTTTTGGTCTCTATTTCAGGACGAAGACTGGGCTATCCACTGATGAGTGTATGGAACAGTGTACAGTAGGTTCTTTTTTGTTGTTGTTTTGCTTGTCTGAGACAGGGTCTCACTATGTAGCTCTGGCCGTCCTGGAACTCGCTCTGTAGACCAGCCTGGCCTCAAACTCAGAGACCTGACTTACTCTTGTCTCCTAAGTGGTAGGATTAAAGGCATGCACCACCATCACCTGGCTACAGCAGGCTCTTGATAAAATATATCAAATGAGCTAGGCAGTGGTGGCACATGCCTTTAATCCCAGCACTCAAGAGGTAGAGGCAGGTGGATCTCTGTGAGTTTGAGGCCAGCCTGGTCTACATGAAACCCTCAAAAGAGTGGCAAACACTTAGGTAGGTAGAACTTGCCATGAGTTGACTCCTTTTCTAAGCTCTGCAGCTTCCCAAACTCAGCCGCACTGCACACACAGGAAACAGACACTTAGAGGTGCGTGCCTCAAAGTCACCCAGGAGAGTGCGTCACAGTGCGGATGTTTCAGTCGCTGTTTGAACCTTGTTCTGTTTGGTTTGGTTTGGTGTTGAAGACAGGTCTCACGTAGTAGCTCTGGCAGTCCTGTAATTCACTATGTGGACCAGGCTGGCCTTAAACTCACAGAGATCTGCCTCTGCCTCCCAAGTGCTGGGATTAAAAGCGTGGGCCACCACCACCCATCTGATATTTCTTATGAGCTCCCAGGAGGTATTGATCATGTGGGGACCACACTTTGAGCAGTCTGGGGCTGTCAGCTACTGAAGTTGACAGAGGCAGCAGGCATCCCGCCTGTGGTTAAGCCCACATGGCCAGCAGGGAGCCCTGCACTTGTAACTGTGAACCTAACTGCTTGTCCTGTACCCTAGCTTTCTCCCCCTGACAAGCAGGCAGGAAGTCTTGCTCTGCTCCTGCCACCCATTTCCTCTCGTCCCTTCTTCCTCCATGGTGACATCTGGCCCAGGGTCTTCCCAGTGGGACTGGCTGGAGGTTCTCAGATTTTCATTAACAAGAAAGATAATTAAGAACTTGCTGGGGCCCAGCTGGGCCTGCTTTAGGCCAATCTGGCCCTGTGCCCACTTTCCCAGCGTTCCAGAGGCACTGGGACAAGAAGAGGCTTGCTGGGACTGGGAGTAAAGAGTCCTCACTAGCCTCAGAGGAGACACCGTGCAGCTGGGCCTCCTGCATAGCCGGCAGTCACCAGTCTGAGCTGGTCAGCTGTTTCCCAGGCATTCCCAAGAGGGGTTTAGGCTTAAAAACAAAGTGAAAATTAGTTAGCCACAGGGGAGTTTCCTGATGGGTGAGATGGGAACCACTGGTGAATTCTACAGAATGAGGCTCAGTGGCACAGAGAGCTTCCTGTTGCTCCGAGGAACACAGCTCCTCTCTCAGGGAGAGGGGGCCCTCACTGGCTGATGGCTTTACTGATTTATCTATGGTTGCTTCAGCCCCTTAGAACCAGAGAGAGGGCTTGCTGGCCCATCTCAGGTAGAGCTAAAATGTGTTGTTTTCTATGCATTTATGTCTCAGTTCTCTTTGATTTATGAGCCACATGTTGCTTTTTCATTTTTGATAGTAACACACTCTATCCTTTTATTTTTCTTTCTGTTTTTTCAAGACAGGGTTTCTCTGTGTAGCCCTGGCTGTCCTGGAACTCACTCTGTAGACCCCGCTGGCCTCGAACTCACAAAGATCCACCTGCCTCTGCCTCCCGAGTGCTGGAACTAAAGGCGTGCGCCACTACCGCCTGGCTCGAATGTTCAAACATGTATGAATTACTTTCCTCCTTGCTCAAGTGCTGGGATGACCACCACGGGGCCCAGTTTCAGTGATGCTCGACATAGATGGAACCTAGGGTTTTGTGTAGACTAGGTGGGCCTCTACTGACTGCACTGCAGCCCCAGCCTGTATTCTGTCATGTCTTCCACAAAGGACACTAAGCCCTGCATTTGTCCTCCATAGTCCAGAACCGTAGCTAATGGGAACAGGAGGAATGGTCTTGCCTGGTGTCCTGGCCCACACCCATCATCCTGGCACTCAGGAGACAGAGGCCAGGAGGATTGAGAGTTCTGGACCATTCTGGGCAAATGTGAGACTGTCTAAAAGGAAAGAGGAGGAAAGAAAGGAAGGAGGGAGGGAAGGAAGAACAAAAAAGGAAAGACCTCCTCATCCTGCGCAACTGTCCAATCACAGTGGAGATGAATCCCCGGGTCCCTGGGTGTGGTGGACTGCCGCCCTGCAAGCATGGTAACCATTGCCATCTTTATCAGAGCAGTTGTTACTATCCACAAGAGATCTTCAAGGAGGGGCCTGTGACCTCTTATAGATGGAAGGGTTGGGAAGGGTCATTAGACGCCCATCTGAGGCCCCAGCCACTCTGTCCTGCTCCTCCTCTCCAGGTGTATGCAGTTCTGCCCCAGCTGTTCTGATCCTCCAGAGGATCTAGGTGCTGGAGTGTATAGAAGAGGAAGGTTGCTAGAAAGCCGAGGCCACAGGAAGGATGTCACCCATGCTGGCCTGAGACCCTTCTGTGACTCAGCTGTTTGGGGATGATGATCACCTGCACTCCTGTAAGTAATCCCACCAAGCTTCTGTCAGTAAGCTAAATAAACTCATCGGCTCACAAGCTAGACCTGGATGGAACCGTTTTTCAGTCTGTTCTGTGCCCTATCTGAGGCAAGTAGATGTTGCTCACGGCTCCTAGGAAAAGCTAATGCAACGCTCAGTCATGCAGTATTCACGCCACCATGGTATCAGCTTGACTTCTGGCAGGAGCTGTTCCCCAGGCCCATCAGGGCTTTTATCTGTGCTGAGCCCAGCACAGGATGTCCTGTTCTCCGGATCCAAACCTGGGGGTCTCCAGCAGACAGGGGATGGAGAAGCCAGATGGAACCAGAGCTGGTGGACACACTGACAAAGGATTGGGAGCTGCATAGAGCCTAGCATTGCCTTTTGTCAGCTCTGCAGCCTGGGATTCTCACTCACCTTCTCTGGGCTGGAATGTCCTTATCTATAAAATGTAAATGTCTGCCTTGGCTTGCTAAGACCTTAGACATACTGTACACATGAACCTGGAGCAGCTATGTTGGACTTGGTCTCAGGAGTTTTACACTCATGTGCTTTTTAAAAATATGTTTTAATTTTTAATTTTTTTAAAATTTTATAATTTGATTTAATTTTACATATCAGTGACGGATTCCCCTGTCTTCCCTCCTCCCGCCCCCCCCAATTTTTAATTTTTTTTTTGAGACATCATCTCATGTAGCCAAGACTTGCCTTGAACTTCTAATCCTCCTGCCTCTATGTCCAGAGTGTTTTTTTTTTTTTTTTTTTTTTTTTGGTTTTTCGAGACAGGGTTTCTCTGTGTAGCTTTGCGCCTTTCCTGGTACTCGCTTTGGAGACCAGGCTGGCCTCGAACTCACAGAGATCCGTCTGCCTCTGCCTCCCGAGTGCTGGGATTAAAGGCGTGCGCCACCACCGCCCGGCCCAGAGTGTTTTGATTATAGACATTGTGCCACCATTTCTGGTGACATATGCTCTTACATCTTCCAGGATGACTCATTCACTGGAGAGTGTGGGCGGGGCCTCAGATCTTCGCTGTGTGCACCTGTCTTAGGGCTGCTTCAGTGTCTTGACTACTTAGTAGCTGGCTTCCCTGGGGTAATTCCCCATAGACCACAAGAATGCCTTTTGTGACCTAGTCCATCATCTCATTCTGTTCCTTAGTGAGGCACCAAACCACACAGGCAAAGGAAGAGTCTATTTTTTTTTTCTGGGGTGTGTGTGTGCATGTGCGTGTGCGTGTGCGTGTGCGTGTGCGTGTGTGTGTGTGTGTGTGTGTGTATGTGTGTGTGTGTGTATGTGTGGTGTGTGCATGCATGTTCTCTTGTGTGTGTGGTGTGGTGCAATTCTTATGTGTGTGGTGTGTGCATGCACTTTTTTTGAGTGTGTGTGGTGTGTTCATGCATGTTCTCATGTGTGAGCAAAGGTGTGTGCACATACACATACTTTTGTGTGCACATGCAAGTGGAGGCCTGAGGTTGATGTCAAATGTCTTCCTCCACTGTGCCCCACTTTGTGTATTGATACAGGGTCTCTCACAGCCTCTGCCTCCTGTTCACACCCATCTGGGGATGCAAACCCCTGTCCTCAATTTGCTCAGCAAGTGCTTTACCCATGGAACCATCTCCCCAGTCCCTGAGTTCTACTTTTTTTTTGAGGTGGGGTTTCTCTGTGTATCCCTGTCTGGCCCAGAACTCCTGATGTAGCTCAGGCTGGCTTTGAACTCACTCTCTTGCTTCTTCCTCCTGAGTGTTGGAAATAAACAGATAGCTAATATGGTGGATATTAGTGGGGTAAGGGAAGCTTCAGAGATATTCTAAAATTTATGCTAGAGAGAGTTGAGAATCAAACCAATTTCAAGATATAGGCCTGATTTGGACACTATGTATTTATGTGTGTATATATGTAGATATATATACATGTGCATATACATATGCATGTATACACATGCATGTGTATATAAATGTGTATACACACACACATATATACATATATATACACACATATATATTCCTATTCAGGGTTTCTATTGCTGTGATGAAACACCATGACCAAAGCAAGTTGGAGAAGTAAGGGTTTATTGGGCTTGCATTTTCATCTTACTGTTCATCACTGAAGGAAGTCAGGAGAGGAGCTCAAACAGGGCAGGAATCTGGAGGCAGGAGCTGATGCAGAGGCCTTGGAGGATGCTGCTTACTGGCTTGCTCATCATGGCTTGCTCAACCTGCTTTCTTATAGAACCCAGGGCCACCAGCCCAGGGATGGCCCCACCCACAATGGCTCAATTACTAATTAAGAAAATGCTCTACAGGCTTACCTGCAGCCCAATTTTATGGAAGCATTTTTTCTTTTTAAAGATAATTTGTTTAACTTTTATTTTATGCTCATTGGTGTGAGGTGTCATCCCCTGGAACTGGAGTTACAGACAGTTGTGAGCTGCCATGTGGGTGCTGGGAATTGGACCTGGGTCCTCTGGAAGAGCAGCCAGTACTCTTAACCACAGAGCCATCTCTCCAGCCCCTGGGGAGCATTTTCTTAATTGAGGTTCCCTCCTCTCATACGACTGTAGATTGTGTCGTTGACATAAAACTAGCCAGTGCGCGTGCACACAATTCTTTAATCAAGTCAAAGACTTTTTATTATCAGTTAATGCACCAGTTAGAGTGTAGAGAAAGGATCAGGATCATAAGAAAAACCCAGGTTTTCACACATCACTGTTTAGGCATGGACCCAGGGATGCCCCACATCAGGTGCAGCAGCTACGCTGGTCGGGTGTGCCAACCTAGGTGCACTTCACACGGTCCATGTGACAGACAGCAGGCGCACAGCCCTTCTTGCAGGAGGTGCATCTGCTTTTGCAGCAGGTGCATCGAGGCACAGGTGCAGCTGATGTCCACAGAGAGTGGAAGCAGCAGTGGGAGTCGCCCTTTGGGGGCCGGAGAAATGGCACAGCAGTTAAGAACACCCACTGCTCTTGCAGAGGACCTTTCCCCAGCACCCACATGCTGGCCCCAGTTCCAGGGGGCCTAGTACCCTCTTCTGACCTCTGAGGGCACTAGGCATGCATGGAGACGCACATACATATATGCAGGCAAACATTCATATGCATACAATTAAAAGATTTAAAGACAGGTATTTTTAGAGATATCTTTTCAAACACTGACATTTGAAGTGAAATGCTTTTAGAAATTTGCTTCAAAATAATCTGCATAGAATGTGTAAAACAGAATGGCTGGCTGCAGACTAATGGTTGCTGGGGCTTTTGGGGTGGGCAGTGTGTATGGAGGCTTCTAGTCACTGTGTTTTAGTGTAGGTTTGGGATTCCACATAGTTTTATAATATGGCAGGAATAACACAGTCAAGGCAGCCCCATGAAGTGACTAGGAGGGTCAGAAGGGTCAGGGACACAAAGCTGTAGACACTGAGGTGCTGTCCCTGGACCACTCTGTAGCTTGTTCATCGTGGAGAAGTAGCGAGTGTGGGACTGAGACCAGACCTGTGTCCCCAACAATGCCCCCCCCATGTTGGCACAATTAGTTCTCAGGCTGTCACACTCATGCATCTGAGGCAACCTGGTGGCTATTATGCTCAGACTTATGACAGATGGCTTTTAAGTCTGAGTGGGGCTGCCGTTTTGTCTTAATATATTAAGTCATTACAGTGGGTGTTTCATTGTATTTTATTTTAGATCTTTCTGTTTCAAAGAAGATTCTTAGAATGAATATAATCAAATTCATACTGAAATCAAAGACTATAGCATTCCTGTCCTGCAGTCATTTCCCAAGGACAGTCACTTCATTTTTAAATGGAAGAATTAGGAAAATATTTTATTAGCTAATGAACTGATTTATTTTGGAGATGGGAGCCCAAGACGGCTTCAAGCTCTCGATCCTCCTATCTCAGCCTCTTGAGTGCTGGGACTACAGGCGTCCTCTACCAGGCCCAGCTCGCTGGCTCCTCCATCTCTCCGGCTCCTCCATCTCTCCTTCCTCCCTCCTGATCTCTTTATTTATTTCAGTGCTAGAGATGGAGCCCAGTGTCCTGAAAAGGCTAGGGAAGTGCTCTAGCACTAAACTACACCCTCGGCCCTTAGTTCATGCATTTATCCAGCACACACACACACACACACACACACACACACACACACACGCACGCACACACACACACATTGTTATTTTAAGACAGGGTTTCTCTGTGTAGTCCTGGCTAGAGAAATTGAGGTACATGGATGGCATTTGTGAACAAGTAGAGGCTGGAAACTACTGTCTTAGGGTCTCTGTTGCTGTGCAGAGACACCATGACCACAGCAACTCTTCTAAAGGAAAGCATTTAATTGTGGGTGGCTCTGAAACTGTTTTCAGAGGTTTAGTCCATTATCATCATGGCGGGACATGGTGGCATGCAGGCAGGTGTGGTGCTGGAGAAGGACATGAGAGCCTACATCTTGATCTACAGGCAGCAGGAAGTGACTGTGTGTCATACTGAGAGTAGTTTGAGCAAAGGAGACCTCAAAGCCCACCCCCACTTCTTCCAAAAAGTGCCACTCCAACAAAGCCATCCCTCCTAACAGTGCCATTCCCTATCGGGGCTATTTTCTTTCAAACCACCACAACTACTAACTGCAGAGAAACGGCAAACTCAGGAATTTGGTATTAGTAAATGGTTGGGTTTGAGAGATCTCCTTGTCATGCAAAAGACTAATACAGTATTATAATGTATAGTATTAATATGTAGTAGACTATATTAACATAATATATTTAATATATAACAAATATGTATGGTAAGACTAATGATATTTCATGTTATAAATCTGTAATATATAAGAAAATATGTGAGATCATAAAATAACAGGAAATTAAATAATTAAGGAAAATTACTGGGGAAAGAGCCAAACTAGGCAGAGCTAAGAGCTTCCTCAATCAGACACTGAAGGGTGGGGTAGCAGGTCCCAGTGGGGGTTCTAGGTTGTTTTGCAGGACAAGGGTAGCGGCAGGATCTGATCTCAGAC